CATACAAAGGTAGTTGACAAAACTATGTAAAAAACAGAACGATAGTACACGGATGATATTTCTGGAAAAATAATGATATCGTTGAAAAACTCACAGCGTAAGGTTAATTTTCACGGAAGAAGTTTTTGAAAATTGGTTTTCGGTGTGGTAGGAAATTTTTCGTTGGATTAAAAGCCTTCCAGGTGTGCCTTTTCGAGGCACGGCGTGGTATAGGCGAAGAAGAACCGGCCAGGAGAGGCTTTAATGACGCGAGTCGATTCGCCTCGGTCGATATATCGTCGTCGGCGATGACGAGCCGATGGAGAATCGACGATTTATGAAGGAGATTCGTCCGAGGCCGACTTTTCCATCGTGATCCTCGCGCAACCTCTTTGATGAATCGAGCCTTTTATCGCGGCGACCTTGAACCCTCAACAGGTGTCGGTGCCTGACCACTCGAATCGATTTTCATTTTTCCAACCCCGCGAAATTATTGGATTATCCCCCTCTGGCTATGGCCTAACAAATGAACCGCCATTAAAGCGTCCTCTCGGCTCTCGAACTCCTTTTTCTGCCTTGCTAGCCGATCTTCGTCTGGAGTTCAACGTTCTCCAAAAGCGAAAACTTTTCCCTTAATCGAGAACGGTTAATCAAGAAAGATAAAAAGTAGTTAATGTAGTCAAAGTACTCGAGTTTTTCTTTCTCTTTGAATACAATTTGAATACACTAATCTAACAATTAACCTTAAACCTCTAATTTCCGATTCCTGTTCTCACCATTAATTATTCATTTCACATCTCACCTCTGCTCGATCGTTTAATTATAAATAGATTAGACACAATAGCCTCGCCTCGCCTTTACACCTACATAAAGTGTCTAATAAAGACCTTGTAATTACTATCGCAGTATCGCAAATTACCAAAGAAAGATCGACAAGTACGCACGTAGGTTTAGAAGCTAAGAGGAATCGTGGAAAGTGAAAGAGAAATGGTAGAGAACTGTTGATCCTCGAGCTTTATCGAGCGCGTACCTACTTGTCGTAAAAATCACCGTCCCTCGTTTCCTTAATTCGCCACATTATCGCCGTTATTGCACTCGCGAGAGAGGTAAGGTATGAAAAGTAGAAGGGTTAACGAACGAGGCGGTGCAATAAAGCGTGCGACCAGTAAATCGAACTGCTCTCCTCTCCCGTGGGAAGCGGAGACGCGTTCGCGTCGGTCGATCGCGAAATCCGTGCCGCGATTTCCACGTATGCACGTTAGGCATGCGTAACGCGAGGAATACTATAAACGCTCGCGTGTTTCATTACACGACGATACGCAACGAAATTCGATTCTAATGGGAAACAAGAAAGCCGAGAGCCGTCCACGGACCCGGTACTCGTAATCCGACGTCCTGGCGCGTTTCAAATACCTAAATCACGAATAACGACGCGATTCCTCGTAAAACCGGAGTGGCCCGGACCCGACACAGATCCGGCCGGGACTTATCGCTAATTGCGATATTACCACGGTGGACAACGATCGTTTTTCGCACTCGCCTCGCGCCACACGGAGACCCATCGCGCGAACGCGAGGATTTCACGCGTTCCTGGAATGCGTCCTATAAAATTCCGGCCGGTGGATATTCCTCGTTTTCGCGAGACGAGGCTCATATCCACGAGATATCTTGCCGATCTAACTCGAGGATCCGCGAATTGAGACGTTTTTATCCCGCCAGTTAAACGCCCCTCGCACAAATCCCTCGATGCTGATTTTTTCAGAAATTTGCTTGGGAATATTCTTTCTCCGGGAACTGTCTCTTCGTATCGAGCAGAGGAACGACTATACGTATTTTCAAGCATTGAATTTAAATTGCTGCGGTGTTCTGCTAGGGATTGACAAATCTTGGAGAAAAATCGAAGAATAGCGTCCATATTTGGCAAAGAGAGAAGTTGCGAAAATTAAGAGTTATCTCATTTTCCAATCCCTTCGGTAAGATTTCAACTCAAAGGCTGATAATTTTTGCAATATAGTCGTGGAAAACGCTTTTTTAACCCTTTCACTGCTATTGGCGACTTTTGGTACACTTAATTTAATCCTAAAATTTTGCTTAATAATACAAATTTAAAAATGATAAATTAAAATGTTTTAAACGCCAAAACGAAAGGGTTATATTACAAACACACGCTCGCCTTCTTTTTCCCCCCAAAAAAATTATTCACATCCAACGAGAAATTCTTTTCGAAAATTCGTCAAGTCACAGATAGATCGGGCGATAACCCGCGAGGCTCGTTCTCTCACGGCTCCGATTTCCCCCCCTTGAAAAAACAGCCAAAGTCCCTTCGGAGGCAGTCGACGATGATCCCGGAACGATTACTCAGATTTCTCAGCGAAAGGAGTGTCTCGTGTCTCGGTTTTCCATCCTCGACAGGGAAACGATGATCCCTTTTTCCACCCCTCCGGCGGTATCCCGTGTTGGCCACCCCTTCCGGAAGAGGAAACGGGACTGCGCAGTGAGAAAAGAGGAAGAAGAGAAAAGGCTCGGCCCTAAAGGAGCCGGTAAAGCCTGACGGGTCACGGGGTGAATACCGTTTTACCGACTATTAACTCACTTTTACCCTGTTTCCTTACCCCTGCCTCGTCGTCGTCCAACGAGCAAGGGTTTCTTCAGGCCCTAAGGGTGAGCTGCTACGTGTTTTTCTTCCCCCTTCCGAGGTTTCTTGCGTAATCTTTCCTTTTTTCCCTCTCTCGTTCAAGGGGAGGTTACCGTGTCGACCTCTCTCTCCCCTTTCTCTCCTTTTTTATATTATTTCATCTTTTCCCCCCGCTGGATTTCTTCTCTTTTTCTTCTTTTCCCTTTTTCAAGCCAGATTCCTTTCCGGGTTACTGGCAAAAAAATACGCGAGCTTTTTTCTCGGGGGGCCACGGTCGATTTAACCCCTGAGAAAAATCGCGCGACCCCTTGCTCCTCTCTGTATATACAGTCGATTCGAGGGTTAACCGATTTCTCGTGGATGAAATCGGAGAAAGTGAGAGCCGGATTTCTCGCCATTCGAACCATTTAAAGGCTTAAGTATCTCGTAAAAATAGGTTTTTTTTTCCCTTTGCTCTGGTTGCAAGTTGCAAACGTAAGGGCGAGAGGGTCGGATGTCACCGTCACGGTGCTTCGTTCCGTGTTTCTCTGGAAAACGCGTTGTTTCCATCGGAGAAATTACGGCTAACCTAACCCTTTCAGATACGTGATTTTGTTTCCAATTCAGGCATAATGTAATTTTACGGTAAAAATTCACCGGTACCTAAAGGGTTAATTGCAATCTTCAGGTTACACGGATTTTTTCCAAACATCACGCTATTCCGTTAAGTGTAACAATTACTTTGCCGGACGTTTCGATTTCACTGCCACCCCTAAGCCACCTAAGAACCATTTCTCCGGCGTATTTTTTTCTCCGTGTTTGATTTTTATCAATCGACCGACCGAGACGATGTGGAGCAAAGACGAAAGGTAGAACGTGGTCGCGAAAGGAAGAAGAAACACAGGATCCCTGCGGCGCGGGCCTCCTCTTCGGGTTGGACCTTAAAAATCGAGTCAATTTAAGGATCCGGCCCGGGATATACAAGCATAACGCGGCCGTGCATGCGATCCTTCAGAAGTATCTCCTCGTAGAATCCATTTACCGCTGAAACGTGTACGAAATCATTTCAAGTCGCTTCCATCCTTCTCCTTCCTCCTTTTTTATCGCCTCTTCCAGCCTGCGATACCTTGTATTCTTTCGAGAAGGAATAACAGGCAATTTAACACTATCTACTTCGTTCAAGATTATTCTTACTTTTCTGGAATTTGTGTTTCACAAATTTTTCTACAAATTTTCCCACAATTTCACGCTAGCCTCCTAAATCATCGCCGGCTGGATAGTCGTTTTTCGTCGACCGTCGAGCATCCGTCTGGTTAAACGACTCTGGAATCGAAAAAATCCCGAAGGCGATATAAAGGATGGAGAAAAAATATAGGGGATGGTAAAAATGAAGCGTAAGGGGTAGCGTAATTTCACTAGACGTCATCGATCCGTTCAGAGGGGGTCCCAGGTGATCCTTAATCCCTTTCCAGATTTTCCAATCTCCATCCTCTTTCTTCTCCGTTTTTTCATTCCCTCGTTTCATCGTTTCGCGGCCACGAAATCGACTGGCCAGGTCGAAAGCTGCAGGTAGAAATTCTCTGGCCGTAAGTTTGATGTTCTCATGGATCGTACGCGGTGCGAATAAAACCCGCTGGATCTACCTGAGCCCGCAGACTTCGCACCCGGGGGTATTAAACGCTGCCCTAACTCCTTCCACCGGTTTTTAAACCCTCCACGGGATGCGCCACGTTTGTCTTCGGAACAGTAAAGAAACAGGGGTGATTCTCCATTGGCAGAGCTGGCCTCGTTAAAGTCCCACGATTCGTAGGAAGAACGATGAAAAATAATAGAAATAATTCGAGGTTAAGTAATTAATAAGCTACTACGCATCTCTTAATTGTAACTGAAAAGCATGTAAGGGGGATGAAACCCTAATTCACCGAGCAGATGTACCTGCCGAGCCAGTCGATCGCTGCTTATCCCGAGTATCGAGACGTCTCAATTTCACGATCGTGCAAAAAACCTCCCCTCAGTCACTTTTTACCACCACGAAGTCGACGAGTTTTTCCATTCGTCGGTCCTTCTTCCGGATCTCCGCCAATGGAGGAGGGCCAAGCTCCCCACCGTGCTTTCCCAAATCTTGGAAAATCCCAGCCTCGCTGTGTCAGTCTCGTCGGGGTGTCGATTGGGACAGGTCGAGCTGGAAGAACCGAGTCTGATAGGTGGAACTCTCTTCGGAGTATCTTAGAAAATTTGAATATCTCGAAACAGCCAAAATTACCAAATAACCTTCTTCTTTCTTTTACTAACAAAATCTTGAACAATTTTTTAATACGACGAAGAGGGATCTTTATTAGAAAGAAGCGTTGCCTGCGTTTGAATGAAATTTTTTACTGAAAGAACCCGGGGAATTTTGTGGTTGCAGGGAAGGTGAAAGTGAAAGAGGAGAAGGATGCATCATCGATGGCGCCAGGAAGCCCGCCGACGCCACCTCACACGCCCCAAAGCCCGCCGCGTCACAATCCACCCCCGAGCAACCTGTCACAGTCGTGTCAGACGTCGAACGCCAATTCGCCGAGTCTGCAGCAACAGCAACAACAACAGCAACAGCAGCAACAGCAGCATCAAGACACGAATTCTCAACAGCAACAGCATCAATCTCTGCACGCGATGGCGAATTCACCGTTGAGCCATATCCTCGTGCAGAATCCAGCTCTCGCTCAACTGTTGCAACAGAATCCGGCGATTCTGTCGCAGAACCCGCAACTGATGCAGTTGCTGCAACAGAATCTTCAGGTTCAGATGGGCAGCGTCCTCTTCCAGAACGTCAAGAGGGAGGAACCTGAAGAGTCGAGGGTGAGTCAGTCAGAACAAATTAATTAGACGAGGGTCCCTTTCATCTCCCGCGGAGCGTTTCGCTGTGTCCCCTGCTCTTCTCGCCCTCGCGACGGAAATGGATTGTCTCGTTTCCTTTTTCCTCCTTTTTCCTACCGAGTGCGTGGATACTTACCGGGAGGAACTCGTTCCCTCTGGAATTTTTGCTTTTTTTTTTTTTCTTTTTTGGCTGGGGGAACTCTTTGAATTTAAAGTTCCCTTTAAATTTCATCGAAATCGAAGAGATCGTTAGCGGGATTTCATTTTTCTTCAGTGGCACAGTGATCTTTCGTTTGCTCAGAGGGGAGAATTAGGCTGTGAATATTGGATTGTCCAGATTTTCGATGTGTTTGTTCTTATCTTTCCGCGCGTCTTTTGAACATCTGAGGATGGAAGGAAATTTCGATGTTAGGGAGAAGGAAGGAGCCGAACGATATCTTAAAATTGCCGAGAAGAGGGCGAATACGGACGAGCCGATAGGTTGAAATTGAATTTCAGCTGGACGATAGGTATTCCATTTGGTTATTCATGCTTGGCGGTGTGAATCGTGCTTAAGCAGCGGACTTCTCGAAGACGTAGATCGATTATAGCAGACCTCGTGGACACACCGGGCCTGTTGATGATGACGTGACACCGGATTGTCAACATGCCGCGAGCATCTGCTACAGCGGTTGGATTTCGTTCAACTTGTTTCCACTTTAACGATCAACGCCAACCGTCCACGCTCGCCGTGCCAATTATATGAAAATAATTAACTCAATTTATTGGTGACCGGTGACGCAGTACCGGATAGTGGACTAATTCACCGTGAAATCTTGTTCACGGTTTAAAGGCTTTCCTTAATTGACTCTGCCCCGTTGATTGCTGTTTCCTTTTAAACACAATATCCACTCTCGTAATCCATTTATTCTCGTCGCGCGTGTTACACACACACACACGCGCGCACGTGAATTAGGTACGAACAATTTAATTCTGGAAATATCTTTCCATTTTGTAAGAATTTCTCGTTCAAAGTTTCCCACTTACCTCGCGATAAATCGAGCTCGACACGGTTCGTTGTTCCGAGAAATTGAACCCGGTCCAAGAACAACACGTTACCAGCGCGCTTAGCATCGACGACTCGATGATGCACGAGCCTGTTGACGCTCCGCGAAATCATCTCTGTCGTTACCCAATTCTCTCTCCTTTCTTCCCCATACCTTTTTTCCTCTCCTTCTCTTTTCTTCTCTCGGTTCACCGGAAGTCGCGAGTCATTCAGTATTTCAGTCTACGTGGAACGCGTGGTTCGGAAGTGAAAATTCCACCGTTGTTCCCTCGGAAGTGGGGAAAATACGTCACCTCGATCGATACGTCCGAATTAATCTAAAAATAATTGGAAAGCGTTATCGAGGGAGGAGAATAATAGAACGTTGCCGATGTTAATGGCCAGTGAATCATCCTGGGTACGGTTTGACGTCTGTACGATGACTCGTCGACGATAGCTCGTAAAGTCTCGCGTTTCCAGCGGGAAACGTAACCACTGGTAGTACAACGTTCGAATAATTCAGGGGTTCCTGGAATTATAATTTGTCCCTCGATATATATATATATATATACACACACGCGCACGCACATATATGTACATGCATCGCTGTAATCTCCGTGTCGAAAGAGTCCCTGATTCTTGACCTTAATTCGTTCAGACGTGTTCCCATAAAATAATCGAGAACAATGATTCCTTTCCCCTCGATTCGCGTCGCCACGCGAGCGCGTGCACCACGGAGAAAAAGAGACGACGAACGATCCTGCGCTTTGCAATAAATCTCTCCCCTGCCTCCTCCTCCACCCCCTCCACGTTCCCCCGTGAAATTTCGACAGATTTCTGATTTATCTTATCGTCAAGTTGGCCGTTACGATTGTTCCTAAAATTGATCGTTAAATCTTGGTATCCTTGGAAGCGTAAATATAAAATTTGTCGGAAGAGTTACACTATGTATGTACGTGTATATACTACCTGTGCTCCGAATACAATGACTAATAAAACGTCTGACGTAAAATTCTTAAAATTAACAGCACGCAAAAACCACTCTCCGCGGTCGTTTTGAAGGAAGAGACGCTAGGCGTTACGTCGAATCACGGATTGAATTAACTTTCTAAAGGAACAATTAACATTCCGCGTCATCGTTTTACGACACACCCTAATCCTGTCCGTTCGGCGAACGTTTCACATAGTTATTCCAGTAAGCTGGAACCACCAACCTCTCTATGGATTCATCGGAAACTTAATAATACTCTCTTTCTCTCTCTCTCTCTCTTTCTCTTCCTCTCGAGACAATGAGGAACATTTCACACCACACCTCGAACGATTGTGAAATGTAGACCCGGCGTTTTATCTCGTTGCAAACGTACGATTTACATTGCACACGGATAAATCCACGGAATCTCTAACCCTTTCGCGGCAAGCTCACCCCTTCTTTGAAGACACCGCTAGTAGGAGAAACGACGGATACGGTGGGAAAGGTAAGGAGGGTGAGCTGTTGGGAAAATTGCGCGGAAAGAGGACTGTTGGGTACTTTTGTGCCACGAGAGAGAGAGATTCTCTCGATGTTAACTCTCGGCGGTGTGCATCGCGGGGCTAAATATACATGTGTAGTACGTGGCCCGAGGAGGAAGAAGAAGAGGAGACACGAAATGGCCCGGGAGGCTCGGTGTATCGCCACGCTGGAATCCCATACGGGGAGAATTGAAATTATTCCCCCGATTTTTGTCGTGTCGTTTACATTATTTTCGCCTTTGAATATTAATGGGCATATGCTCTCCGGCGTTATGGCACAAGAAGTAACAACGGCGTATAATACTCGACTCTTAACGTTATTCTATTGTTTGCAAATCAGCTCTATTGTTTTCTCATATACCTCTATACTCTCCCGGTTCCCTCTTTGCCCTCCTCCACCTCCTCTACTCCCTACCTCTCTTCTTCGCCGCCCCCCTCTCTCTCTTTCGCCCGCTCTTCGATCTTCCTTTTCATACTCGATCTTCTTCTTCTTCTTCTTCTTCTTCTTCTTCTTCTTCTTCTTCTTCTTCCTTCTGGTCGTTGTTGTATTCTCTTGGCTAACGTTAGTCACACACATAGATACATGTATCTGTATTATTTTCTATTTGTTTCTATGATCGCCGCTTCCTTCCTCGACTCTTCTCTGTTTCGTCCTTTTGTCGGGCTCGGTTAGGGAACCTATGGGACTCTATGAAAGCCCGGCTACTCTGCAATCGAAATCCTCTTTGTGGAGCACGTATTGACTTTCTGATGTCTGGAAAGGGGGCTGGATTCTCTCTGTTTTGTTTCTTCTTTTTCTATTAGTTTCTTTCTCTTCGTGGGAGTCGGCGACGCTTGCTTCTTCTTCACGTCGTTCCTGGGTTACTTGGAATCGTCGTGAAATCGAATCGTCCAGTGAGTTTCATACAGCAACCGATTTTTAATGCCATCCTTGACTCTTTCGAGACGAATTCTGTCACGTTTAAACGGCATTCTGGGCACCGTGAATCATTCAAGGATAGGACTACTCGCGTGTGGAATTCGCAGAAGGTCTTCGAAACGACGATTAATTATTCCTCGTTCTAATCATCCGAGTTTCACTTCGAACAGTCTTCGAGCAGTAGAATAAATTCGACATCTGCGCCGATACTTGGCAGCGCGTCGTTGGATAAATTTGATCATCGCTGCTCCCGTAGATCGATTTCCCGCGGAAACGGCCGCGAAACATTCCTTTCCGCCGCATTGCCATGCGATCCGCAACGGCGGATCCGTAATATTGGGCATCGAAGGTCGACGATAATTATGAGCGCGGAATATAAATGCTCGTTCGGAGAGCGGCTGTTGAATCGATGGAACGCGATTGTCGTGCACGTGAGCCGCTTTCGCGACTCTTCCCTCGATTTCTTAGAGAAGTAGTGGCAGAAAGAGAGAGAGAGGAGGGAAAATCGAGGGCTATTTTTCATAGAGAAAAATATGGAAACGAGGTAGGAAGAGACACGGAAGAAGACAAACGATGGACGCCGCAACGATGTGGCAATCGCTTCATAAATTCAGCGTCGCAGAATACGGCTTCGGAAATCGTACAGGATTCGAATAATTTGCACCACGGTGGGGCTTCCGGGCAACTGCCGACCATTTCGAGCCTCTCCGACCGTCGTTCTCTCTGTTTTTCTTCCAGTTTCCATCCCTCCTTCTCCTCCTCCAATTCGTCTGTACCAACATCGGAGCTATTAAGGTATCTCAATGCAGAGAATCGTCCACGACGATACTTTCAGTCGTGTTTCTGCAAAGAAACACACCCTGTATAGTTTTATTCCGTTCGGGTTAACTCGAATCAACCAGAAGGATTTAAAGTGCATTTCGATGCAGGCACACTTGACACACATTGCATCGTCGAGGTCGACGACCCTTCGTATTCCGTTTCTTGGACGTTTTCGAGGAACCGGAAGCCGTTTCCGCCTCACGTACCGGCCAAAAGAGGATGTCGTAACGATAAACGCGCAAAAATCGACGAGCGAAAGGTTAACAGAGATCAAACTGCGCGCAAATGTTCACGTCGTCGAAATTCTCCCGAGCAAATGAAAGACCACGAGATACATACAAAATGGTCCATTCTTAGATAGAACGGAAAAATTTCTATTCCCCGTAGAACGTGCGCCTAGCTTTGTTAGAAAATCACTATATATAGAATCTACCCTTAGAATATCCTAACTTAAAGAGGGGGAGTAGAGTTTTCCCAAAAGGTTCGGATAATTTCCAGTCATTCAATTTTTCTTTCTTTTTTTTTTCCAACGACACGTGTCGCGGATTCATAGAGAGGCGCGCGCTCTTCTCTCTCTCTCTCTCGATGGTGGTGATGTTGTTGTCTCCCCCTCTCCCCTTATGGTTGCGTGGGCGGTCCCCTTTCGTCCCCATCGCGAGCACGTCCCTGGTAGAGAGAGAGAGAGAGAGAGAGAAAGCATGCTGGTGCATTGTACATCGTAATGTATTTTCTTTTAGGTACCGCCGACAATAGCGAGCCTGGCGGCGATGAAGGTGGAGGCAGCTGACCTGAAGGTTTCCGGTGAGTTACTATTTCCGCCTCCTTACGGAATTATCGGGATCGTAATTAGATTCAAATCGAGTCTCTCCGTCGTTCGACGACCCTACGCGAGCGCGCGGCCAGCAGACAGGAAGGGGGGGAAAGAGGGCAAAAAGGAAAAGGAGAAAAGAAGGAAATGTGTAAACGGAATTGGAGGAACACAGAGACACACGAGAGCGGAAAATATTCGAACGGAGGAGGAAGGGCGGTGGCGAGGGTGGAGGAGAGAGGCGCACGAGCGTCGAAATCGAGGATGATCTGGTTGAACCCGGTCGATTTGCTCTCGTCCTTTTCTTTTTTTCTAATTGTTCTCACGAGAAAACATGTTATTACCGGAGGGGAGAGAAAGATCTTCATTCGCAGCGGCGACTTCTGGGTAAATTGTTGCGAGATCGTTCGGTAGGGGGAAAAGGGAGGCTGTTGGTACCACGAGGATCTTCGATCGTTACGATCTACTTCCGTTTCGGACGTAGAACTTTGCACCGCGTCTCCGCGGAAAATTTCGCACGATCTTGCTAGGTCCGAAATCGTAACGCCATACGTAGCAAAAAGTAACGCTCATTACGAGTATTTCAAGCATCGATTGGTACGAAGTAATTGAAAAAATAATAATAATTTTGTCTAAGTTTCTAAAAATTTGAAAAGTCCAGCGTTGCGATACGGAACCCTTGAATTATTCCACAGAGATTTCCCGGGTAAAGTTTCCAACTTGTTTCAATGTTCGGTGACACAATGGTCCCGCATCTCCCCGGGCCAATTATCAATTCCCACGGTCACGTGACCATCGGTGAATCTTAAACGAAGGACGCACACGCGCGCGTCTCGTCTCGTCTCGTCTCGTCGTCTCGTCTCTTCTATTTATCCGATTGAATCGGTGCAGGCTCGTAAATCGTGTGCAACCTGACGAAACGAGTCGTGTCCCATGCTTTCAGCGTTTTGTGGCCGGGGGCTCTTCCCCCTTTATTGGAATATCCGCCCACAGCATTATGGGAATTATCAAGGAAATGGGATGAGCGCAAGTGGGTCCCACGGAGGGGGCTGAAGGGGGTTTGCCTGATCGCGGACGATCGGGAAAGAGAGGAAGACCGTGTGGCGTGGAAACGGATTCATGCAGGTCCCCCATACACCCTCCCATTCGAAAAATTATGCCACCGACATAGAGCGGCGGTAGTCTCTATCGACAGAGAGATCTGTAATTTCACGAATCGATCGAAATCGGCGTGTTTGCCCGAAAGGGACGAAGGGCGAGGGATTTTAACGGGAGATTTTCGTTTAATCCCTCCTTTCTTTCTTTCTTTCCTTCTTTCTTTCAACAGAGATTCCATTTCGAATCGATTTTTAGAGGAGAGTATGTTGTCGTCGAGTTGTATCTATTGGTGGATGAGAATGTTTTTAGAAGAAAGGTTACGTCAGACGCGCGAGCAAAGAGATTCCTAAACGAGGCTCGCGCAACGCGACGAAAAAGTCCCTAGCGAAAGAGGTCCCTCCGTGACGTTCTAGCGACACGAGTTTAATTTTAGATCGGCCAACGAAGCCACCGCGATCGATTGGCTATAGAATAGAGAAGTCAGTGACTCGATGAGAATTTCATTAATTATAGGACATCGCGGGGATAGAATCGAGACGTTGCGTAATCGCGTCGATACGTCGTTTATAAATACACACTCCGCCAGCTGTAAACGTCCACCTATCGTGTGTGTGTGTGTGTGTGTTGTGGTGTTCCCATCTCGTCGAGCCTTTTTAATCATCGCGTTTGATAAAGAAAGAAGGAAAAAGGAAGGATTCTTTCGTTCGTTTTCTCTTTTGTCATTGCAACACCGTCGTTTGTTCGTTCGTTCGTTCGTTCAGTCGCTCTCTTTCTCGTCCTCTGTCTTTCTGTTCAGCGAATTCCGCTCTACGTCGAAGAAGAGGAATTTTTCAGTTGAAAACGAAGAAACGAATCAGCGCTGACAGCGGAAATTATGGTAATCGTTTGA